AAACTTAAAATTCTTTTATTTAAAAGCCAATTTTCATCAATAAAATGACCAGTAACACAAATATAACTTATGTTAAACTTAGAAGTCCAAATATAAAAAATAATTACAACTTTAGAATTAAGATTTGATAACATATAAATTAAATTTTGTTTATATGAATAAAAAAAATTTTAAAGCATCTGATCTAATAGTATTCCTAGAAACTTTTTTAAATTGTGGATTTGCAGAATTACATAACCATTTTTCAAGTTTAGTATCTTTAGCTAACAAAAATGGTTGTTCAGCATGTACAATGTATTTTGTTAATTCTTGCCTCATTTTTTCTTGTGAATATTTAAAAGTATGGATAAGCAAATGTCTGCCCATGGGTAAGCAAATGTCTGCCCAAATGGCCAGTACCACCCTTGCTACAATAGCTAAAGTCTTTCCTACATTTTTGGCAAACAACTTTTTTTCCCTTCCCTTGAACCTCCTCTACTTTAAATATTTTCCAAACCAGGCTAATCAACTTAGTGGCCTTCTTTTTCTTTCCCCTAGTATCAGTACTAGGGGTAGAAGTTTCGTCAATATCAATAACATCCATATTGGTGCTAACACTACCATGCTACGACTGAATATTGTCAACATTGAACATGTTGGGGAATTGGTTTTGGGAGGAGCAAGCCATTTTTTTTAATTCTTAAATAAAAATTAATTTAATTGCACTTACCCGGATTGCTGGTTAGGAATCCCAACTTAATTTCGACGGTTGAAGCCTTTCAACTCCAAGAGTCCAAACCTCCCAAATTGCTAACTTGAGATACTTGAGTTATTGAGCAAACATTCTTTTTGAAACTTCAATAAAGTTGAGAATTGGAGAATCAGAGAATGTATGAGAGATTGAGAAATTGAGACTTGAGAGAGTATGGGAACTAGAGAAGAGATGAAGAGAATTGTTGAATTGGTGTGATGAGAATGGTGGAGGATATGGCTATTTATAGGAGTTGAAAATAATTCAATTGCCCAAAATACCCTAAAAACTAGTCAATTTTAGTTGCTATGAGGGGTACTTTGGTCATTGCAAAGTTATTTATCATTTTACCCAAAATGCCCCCAAACTAGCTATTATAGAGTTGTTAGGGGGGCATTTGTGTCATTCTTTCTCCCCCCAAAACCAAAATACATAAATACCCCCTAATGGCTGAAACTAGTCGTTGGGGACCCCCTAATGGATAGTTCATTAGGCAGGTTGAGCGTGACCTGCGGGCGGCACGACACGCCCAATCGTGCCGTGCCTTGTCGGGCCGGACCATGGGCAGCACGGTCCAATTTACACCTCTAGAGAGTAGAGACAAGTATGGGGAGTGAAGTCCCTACCCCATCCATGGTGAGGAACCCATTTCCATGGATTGGGGTCGGAGATATAGTGGATAAAGCTTGAATGATAATGATTGAAAGTGGTATGTCAATATTGGTTAGCTAAGTTAGGTTTGACAGGCACCCATGAGTTCTCGGAATTACCTTGGGACCTGGCTCCATCTGTGTAATGGATTTTTGGGGTAGAGCCCTTCTTCGTTAGGTTTTCTGTATAATAATAATAATCCACAGCTTGCATACAACTGTTATTTGAGGCTCTTTATAGTTGAAAACGACATTACATTAAAAATGCATGTTTAGATCTATGGTTCAAAGTTTCTCAACCTCTGAAATTTGCCCAGAAACATTCCAATTTTTTTCTCAGTTTGGAAAGAATACGAATACAAATATATATACAGTATAAATTCATACAAATTAATACAAAATATAAGATTTTGAACTTTACGTCTGAACCTAAAAAAAAAAGAAAAGAAGAAGAAAAGAAACAGCCCAATTTTAATTGTCTGAAAAACCATTTTAAAAGGATGTTATCGTAGGACGTGATATATAACTGGGGTTGAACTGGACGAATTCTTGGTTCAACTGTCCGAGTCAATGGCTCAACCCATAACATCAAGCACAACAAAAGTTTGAAAAAAAAATAAAATGAATTAAAAAAACCTGGTGACCTGGTAAACAGATCTGGCGGGTCTGGTTCAGCCAATTTGAGTCAATGAATCAATCAAGCCAATGTTTTTTTTATGTTAACCCAAATCTGAAGTATGACTGGGTCACCCGTTAAACCAGTTGGATCAACAACCGGTTGAAAGCAGTGGTTTAGTTGACTCAAGGATCAGGCCGCTTTTTGGCTCTGCAGGTGGTGCATGTAGGAGCGAGCGAGCGGGCAAGAGAGAGAGAGAATAAGGATGGAATGAAAAATTGAATGAAAAACAGGGGGCATCGTGGCAT